AATAAATAATTATTAATATTTATAATTAAATTTTTATAAATTTAATAAAATTATTTATCTGTAATTCAGAAATCATCAGCTGAAAAAAGTCAATCAAAAATGAATGAATTGTTTGAAAGAACCCGAGACTGCTACTATAGATTGGCAGAGAAAAGCATAGACAAGACGTCATGATTCATTGAAAGTTTAGAAAATATATTAGAGCCAGCAATTAATTAAAAACAAAAAAAAAAAAAAAAAAAAAAAAATAGAGTTCTGGAGTGGAATGAGTTAGGAGGATAAGCACAAAGTATTTATTCATTATAGGAGTTGAAAAGGATAGCGTAAGGCTTTCAAATATTTAAAAATATTAAATATACTATATGTACAAGAAGTAATAAATAGCGTAATAACGCAAAGATGGTCATAATTCTTCATTAGGTTTTTTTTATTTTCTTTTAAACCTAAGCAATTTTAAAATTAATGTTTTAATAAAAACATATAAACATTAAAGTCTTATAAAACTCGAATATCTTACTTTAAACACTTGGATTAATAAATTCTTTTTATAATCAATACAATAAAAAAAGAAATTAAATATTCATAAACTAAATAGCTTACTTTAAACACTAACTAATTGATTTTCTTTGCATCTATGCACTAAATTAACTTAATTGATAATCCATTTATAATCGGCACTAATCACATGTTAATTACTATTAAAAATTGAGAATAATCATTATAATAATTTTTATATATACTTCTACATCTGAGACATTCTAATGAATGGCTAAAAGAGCACACCAAGCACATGTTACTTTATTAGAAGTAGGTGCAGGATATATATTATAGCCCTTATTCTCATTATTGGTGAAAAATAAACACAGTTTTTGATCAAAAAAACAATACATACTTTTCTATACGTATCGGCCAAAAAACTAAAGTTATTCTTAACAATTATGAATTTGTTGTAACTGTTGTAGTTGGTTATCCAAATAACCCTTATTTTCCTGGCTATATATGCCAAAGTAATACTTTTTTTACTGAAACTCCTATTGACAACCCTAGTACTGCCGTTTCTTCTATATATAATAAAATTTTTAGTAATAAACTTGATATTCTGGTTTCCTTATTGTTGGATGGACCGATCAAAGCATTATTTCACAATTATTAGCTGATATTCCTTTTGCTCCTTTTTCTTTTGATCTTGATAAATATAAAATTTTTATTTTCAGAATTGGGTCATCATTACGACAAGATTGGAATAATGGTGGATTAGATTATCAATCATCTTTAATTCATATATATAATAAAAAACAAGTATTATATGTTTTTATTTTAGAAGAAAATAGTTGTAAAATTGAAATTTATCAGGACCTACACCTAAAAAAAACTATAGAAAATATATCTCCAAATAAAGTTTGGCAACCCTTCGGCATTAGTAAATATAATGGTATTTAGCTTTTTGGTCTGGACAATATTATTACAAAGCAATTAATAAAACAATATCGAATCCCAACATGTACACCTGATCAATGGGATGATATTTTAGTTATAAATACACTTTTTAATTATCATGTAAAATGAAGAACGATATCTAATATTAACTGGCATAAGCTTTTTATTACATGGTTCCAAGAAAATAATGTTATTGAATTAAATTCTACACTTAGTGCATTGTATCCACGAAATTATAAGTTTAGTGATCGGAAAGTAAATGTCTGGTGTTCTATGCTTCAAGCTACTGGTGCTTATAATATAACACCATAGTCATATGAAGAATCTCAAGTATATTACTAATATAATAAATGTTTTCTAATTCATATAAAAATCCTAATAATTATTATACTTTATTAGTATTAGCTTTGGACAAGATCAAGTTTACCAGAAAATGATTCTGTGTTACTTAGACAACTCTATCAATTAGGATTTATAACAAGTATACCTCTTCATATGCCTAATACAACACGTACTTTTTGGCATTCCTTTTCTCATGCTTTAAATTATAATAAAAAAACCTCTAATGGAAAAAGAAGAATTTTATCAATAATTGCAGAAGATTTTACTTATAGTGAATTAGATACAAATTTAGGAGTATGTTTTTTTTAGAAAAATCAACTTTGTAAATTATATAAACTATACTTATCTAGTCTAATAGGTTGGTCATCATACTATTTCTGAAGCACGTAAACATGCAAACTTATATGGTCATGGCGTACTACCACTTCTAAAGCCCATTATTCATCATATAAAGCTGTCTGAAGAACAATTAAATCAGTTTGAATTATTTTTTTCAGATAAAGCAAATGTTAATATGTCATCATACAAAACTGAAATATCAACTGAATTACCGATTTTATATCTTCAAAATCACAAAAAAGCCCTATAGGAAAAATTTCATGAAAAATACCCAGATGGAATGCAATGTACATCATTCATAACCTGTTTACAAGGTGGACGATATATATATAAAGGCAATCTTGGTGGTATTTGTTCAACTTGCAATGAACTTGGATACGAAATATTTGATAAAATAGAAAAACTTATAGAATTACATATTAGTAATACATTTTTTTAGGTATATAGTATATATATAATTAACACTCTATAATGAATTGTTTCCTTCAGATATAAAAAAGTTCATTATATAAGTTACTATGTTTTCTTAAAAAAACATAACTTCTTTTATACCGAATCAATATAAATTTTGAAAAATTTTAATTCATTATATTCAGAGTTCATTATAGAGTTTACAATATAATAAATATATAATTTGAACTAAAATATTTTCTAATATATATAGAATAAATTGAGTTATCAGATGCAAAATTTAAAATAGTATTTACAAAAAGATTATAGTGCAAATCTTACCATTAATCAATTAGGCCATGCTATTCATGATTCTTGTATAAGCCATTGTGTATGTCATGCTTTCGGTGACTGTAATTTAACACATTTAGAAACATGTGAGAATTGTGAAAAACTATTTGTTTTTTTTAATGAATTGAAAGATAATATCACTAATGAAGTTCACGAAACTTTAAATGAGTATCATAATCAGCTTATATATTTTCAAGCTCACCATGTTTGCAAAACATACTTTAATGCACAGCTAAGTGCAAATCTTGTGCAATTAGATTCAGATGGTGCATTAATAATTGTTGACTATAAAATGAAAATCTTATATCAAAAGTCCAGAGAAACTAAAGCTGAATTTTTTGGCAACCGTGGATGGTCACTCCATTCAGTTTTAATATATACAAAAGATTCTCTCACTAATAAAATTAATATCAATGCATTCGATTATTGGAGTAGTAATAGCAAACAGGATGCCTGGTTCACTGCGTCCTCACTATACAGTGTACTAGAGATAATTGAAATAAAACCAAAATGGATAAGTATTTTTTCTGATAATGGGTCACATTATCATAATACAGAATTAATAATAATAATAGCATATTGGAAAAAGTGGTATGATATTTCAGTACGTAAATGGGTTTTTTTTGAAGCAGTTGAGGCAAAAATGGCAATAGACTCACATCATGCCCAGGTAAAAAAAAACAAAAAATACCTCAATATATTCTATAACATATTATTTATATAGTTAACACATGCAATGAAACGATGAGTAAAATTGAGACATAATATTGAATTAGGAGAAGAAATACAAGAAGCAATAAAAGACTTAGCAGGCACACATGTTGCCAATATTATGTCTAATTGTAAAGGTTGGTATATATATACTACTAAGAAAATATAGGATTTTGGTCTACAAATTTATTATTGAAATTTAGTTTATAAAAAATTCAATAGTAATATATATGATATGTAATTACATACCATATAGAAGCTGACTCTCAATAATTAAAATTTTGAAAATTTCATTTTCTTTTAACAAAACTCATTCTAATTTTAAAAACTAAAACTAATATTAATTAATTGAACTAATATTAATTAATTGAAGAAAATTCAAAGCTAGGAATGATTCATAGAATTTCTAATTGGCATGAGTGGACTTGGCCAGATGAAGGAGCAGAAGCAGGATATATTCTTGCTAGATCATTACCAGAATTAGGACCATGGAAAAAATTTGCCCCTGCGCATATAACAAAAGTTACTAAAGAGCACATTTTTAAAAAGCCAAATCCTACAATCTCGGAACATACACAACCTACTAAGTCTTGGACTATACCGGCACCGGTACTACTTAATTCAGGTATGATTATAATTTTTAGTATTAATTCAAATTATACTTTTTATTTATACACTTTTTACATTCATCAAATCAAATCACTATAAATGAACCAAATAGTAAAAGCAAAGAGACCCAAATGGTAAAATAGAATAATATTTTTAAATTCCAAAATCAGGCAATTCTAATTAAAATTGCTATAAATTTTAAAAAAAGTTTGATCAAGTTAACCTACCACAAACAGATAATCGTTTATCAAAAAGGTAACATAGTATGTTTTGAAGTTTTCCGCTATATATCTATATTCTATATAATATATCAATCGCACGATTTGTCACACTATTTTGCTTGTAAATTTTTATATATATAAAATTATAAAAAAAACATATAAAATTACTA